ATGAGGACAAACCTCAAATATCGGATTAGTACCATGATTTCATCTTGATTGGTCGCTTTCCACTTTCCGGATTAACTTCCGAGGGAATGGTTCTTGCAATCCTTGGTTGATTGGTTAAGAGAGCTAGATTTCTTAGCTTTTAGTTGCAATCCTTAGCTGAATGGCTAAGAGAGCTAGGCTACCTAAATTATAGTTGCAACCCTTAATTGGTCTACTAACAGAGTTAGGGCTTCCTAACTAGTTGCACCCGCCTCACAGTATATAAATACATCCTTCACGCTAGAGTCCCGATCTTTGTTTCTTAACATGAGACTAGGGGAGAAATACTCGGGTGGAGTCCTCTCGTATAGAATTCTCTACAATTTACTTTACTTGCTTGTTTACTTTGTATTTTTCTTAGTTTGAAAATCCAAACTGTTTGCTAGATAACAACTCATGTATGATTCCTACTCATTGTGCTTTGAATTGTTGGTTGTCATGATGGTGTTAATTCTAGAGAGGATAGTGTAGCTCTATGGAGGATGTTGGTCTATGAGAAATCTAGCTTTAGCATCCTCTTTGGTTGGTTGATATTGTTAACTAGTGATGATTAAGACACTTGTGTTGAACTCTCTACCCTTATGGGCTCGAAAAGTTTTTGCAAAAAGGTGCTACATTTTTTAATGTGCGTTGAATTAAAAATGTGTCTCACGTGTGTGGTGACCAGAGATAGTGCTTATTGAATATGTCAAAAGGTTTATCTAAAATCGGTTTGGGCTTTGAGTATGCATAAGAGAGACAACAATATTGTTTCCATACTTTCACCTACTACTCTCCATCCTTTCTTACACCTCTCCTCCTGGATGGACTTGATAGTGAAGAGATCATTTATTATGCAAAAGTCTAGAGACCTTGGCTCTTGATTATCTCACAAGTGTGCAACCCATCACTAACTTAGGTCAATTGCCATAGATCGAGCCTAGGAATGGGAGTGCGCTTGGGGAAATGCTTTTGTGCAAAGTGAGTTCAGGAACTTCTTGCATCCTACCCTACTCCTACTACCTTCCATCCTAACTTGATACCTCTTTCCCCACATGGGCTAGATAGGGAAATGGATGCTTCTTTCACTCTAGCCACGAGATAGAGCCCTAGTCTTGCTAAACTTCACGTGTGATGCCATAAATGACCAAGTAAGTTGAGGCTTGAAAGTTCCAGGTTCATTTGTCAAGTTTCGGGTTCTATGATGTAAATATGACCAAGGAATGAATTTTGTGACGAATGGAGGCAAGAACAACATTGAAAAGAGCAAGCCAAAGAGAACATGGTCTGGGACACGATTGTGTTCCTACCCGTATTTTGTAACACGACCCAAGACATGGTCGTGTTCCCAAACACGTTCACAAGGGTGTTGATCTGTGGCCACGACCTACAACACGATCATGTTCGTAGCCCGTGTCAAGTGCTGAAAAATAGAAGCTCACTTGCGTTTTGCGGGCTGTTGCAAAGGTCACAGTCTCTGAACCGTGACATCCATCCCAAAATTGTACAAATTGATGATCATTGAAGAACACGGGCCTGTTGACACGGTTGTGTTCGTAGGGCGTGTTCGGGTAGCTTCTAAAGAACTTCAAGAACAACGAGTAGAGGTGAACATGGCAAGCCAACACGGTCGTGTTCGGGCAGTTTCTGTGGACTATAAATATGCTGCTACCGGTTTTTGAGGGAGGAGAGATTGGCTTTTCACCCAAAACACCCAAGGGGCGTCCAAAAACATGGAGAGTGATATAGGAGGGTTCTTGGAGCTAAATCGGAGGCGTCCAACACATTTGGAGCTAGGAGATCAAGTCTATAAGATGAAGATTAAAGATTTTGGTGCTTATACGATATCTTCTCTCCTCTCTATTGAATAGTTCTCATTCACTTATGCCCTGTTCACTTCCCATTTTGGTTTTTGTTTTTTGTTGCTACAACCAAAATCTGAAAACAAAGAGTAAAAAACGTGTTCACTTGGTTTCTGTTTTTATTTGGGAAAACCATGGGCAACCAAATGGGGTAGCTGGCAAAAAACAAGAAATAGTCGTTTTCCGGAAATGTAGAAACTGATTTCCCCCCGGTTCCAGCGGATAAAACGTGAAATTGGTTTAATGAGATCGGGAATTCGATTCCCGACCGCACCTTTTTTTTTATCTCGACCTCTCTTTCCCTTCTCCAGCTCTGAAATTCATCCCCAACCTTCGTTCCTTTCGGATCAAAATTCAATCCCACCATTCGACTTTTCTACGTTTCTTTCCCGCAGCTGACCTTCATCCTTCTCCCCCGTCAATCCCACATATCATGTCCGCTCAATCAGATGGATCTTGACGAAGGCAGGGGTCGATTTTGCAGCTGCTACGTCTTCCTATGTCGGATCTTTCTCTTCGCCCAGATCGCCCTCTTCTACCCAGATCGGCAGCGGAAGGCAGGGATCGATTTTGCAGGGCTTAAGGTTGGCTGCTGCTTTTGATGGCGTGGCTGCTGCTTTTGATGGCAGAAGTGGGTAGTTGGATTGGAACAGAGAGTTAGAAAGAAAGCAGGGGAAGGTAGTGAGAATTAGAAATAGGAAGAAGACGAACAGGGAAGAGAAAGAGAGAATTAGTCAGCGAGATAACAGCCACAATCTTGTTTTAATGAATGAAAGAACACATAGTGGCACAGAAACAAAATACATAACATATACTTTCAAACTAGACTTATTTGACATTTAATTTTGATGTTGTAACTTGTAAGAGTACTTATTTTATATTAGTTAAGTTGTGTATTAATAGTTTAAAACAATGCGATTCATATTAAAAATTTTAATCATCACTAGAATTGTATGTTACTCAATGAACAATTGTAGTAATCAAGAATCAGAAAACAGTATGAAGTAACTAAACAGTTTTTCATTTTCAGAATTCAGTTTCAGAACTCACCACAATTCACAGCTAAACAAGTTTTCTTCATATTTGATTTCTCAGAAAACGATAGCTTCATTTTCATTTTATTTTGTTTTCTGTTGCCACAACTATAAGAAACGAAATGGCAAGTGAACGGCCCATTAGGTTTTGATGAATTGATGTTTGAATAATTCATATGCTCGTTTGAACTCTTGATCATATATTGAATTGAGGTAATTCATGAATTTGGTTGGGTATTGATTAAACTCTCCAAATTGGGGCTATTGACCTAGAGACCCAAGGGCTCGATACTTTTTTAACTTTACTTCCTATGCTAGACCCAGCCATTGGTTATGCTTGGCCTTTGATTGAGAGAGTAGTTTAGAGTGAGTCACTAGCTTAACTTGGTTCAACCTATACCGATCATAAAACGATCGATTTACCACTTCTATGTAAAATGACGTCGTTTTAGTAAATTTAATTAATTAAAAATTAATTTTTCATTTATTTTATGATTTGAAAAGTTAAATGGCGATGTTATTAGTTGGATTTAAGTATAAATGTTTAGATCTTGACATTAAATATTGTATTTGAATACAAGTATTTTCTATTTTATTTGGAATGTGGTATTTTATTTATTTGAATATGAATTGTATGTAGATTATTTTCAAATATGTTTTATATATAATTAAATTCATTTGATATTAATGGATTTTTATATATTTTATTTAATTGGTATGAATCGACACAGACCAATTATACCACCGATTGAATCATTCAACTTGCTAAAGTGACAGTATAAACCATTTTGGTAACCTCTTTCATCCACATTGGCTGAATGTGCTAAATGCAATTTTTTTTATAAATGGATGCAGAGAATCTCAGCTTTCATTCAAAACCAGGCGTGGTTCGGAAGGCCCCTGTAAGTCATACATAATTCAGGATACAAGAGTGGGATCAGAAACCGGAAAAGATACCCCAGAGGCGACATGTGACCTCGACTCGCAATGTAATCCGCACATTTATTACCTTCCCTATAAACATCATTCAAAACCAGACGTGGTTCGGAAGGCCCCTGTAAGTCATACATAATCCAAGATACAAGAGTGAGATCAGAAACCGGAAAAGATACCCCAGAGGCGACATGTGACCTCGACTCGCAATGTAATCCGCACATTTATTACCTTCCCTATAAACATGTGAGAGTGATACTTCCCAATCTCCTTCTAACAACGCATGGAAACGTTGGGTGACTGCTGAGTGCCTATCGTCGTCGCCATGCCGGCGCTGGAGAATTAGCACTGCGCACCTGGAGTCTAGCTGAACTTTGACCCGGCGGTAGCCAAGTTCCCAAACTAACTGAAGTCCCTTTATAACGCCTCTCAACTCAGTTTGGGTGATAGAGCAAATCCCGAGGTTAATAACAAACGGTGCAATGCAACGTCCTGTGTGATCTCTAATCAGACCACCAACAGCTGCGTGATCTGATCAAGGAATGACGGAGCCATCAATTGAGAGTAACCCACTCGTGAGGAGGCGGCATCCAGGAGATCAACTCCTCCATTCTAGCAGGTAGATGAGGCTGATGGATAACCTTATCCTTGTACATAGCAGTCTGCACTACATTTATCCATGCTTGGATGCGCTGCAGAAACACTTCGGCTGAGACAATCTTACCTGTGAAGACTCGGTCGTTTCTAGTCCTCCAAAAGGACCAGCAGGTAATGCCAAACATGAAGCTCGTATCCTGTTGTCGAAGATCGCATAAGCCAATCTCGAAGAGTAAGTCCGAAAAAAGTCGGGCATTCAGAAGGCTAAATGAGATAAATTCAATTTATGATATGTTGTAATCTGTCCGATTCAGTAGGGGAATGAAAGAATGGTATTGTTATTCAATAATAATAATAATAATAATAATACAGCCGCTTTGAAGAAGTGATGTTGACTTCTGGAAAATAGAAAATTCCAAGTTGTGTCGGTTGCTGAGAACGGAGGAAATACAGACTCTCAACTACCTCTTGTACTTTCCGCTTCCCTGCGCCTACCACCGCCTCTGTTCTCTCTCAAATCTTCTGCCTAGATCCTCTCTCCCTGTTACCGTGCTCTATGGCCGTCTCGTCTGCAATAGTTGAGAGGATCGACTTGCCGCAAATGGACGCGTCTCCCTCACGATCACCCTCTGACTTGGCCTCTGATTCGTCTTCCTCTTCCGCCGCCGCCGAAACGCCTGATCGTAACGACCTTTCCAATCCATCTCCGAATCCGAGCAGCCGCGATGGTGATGCTCAGGTGCGAGGAGTAATTCCATTTGATTGCAGCTTAATTAGCGTTTCAGTCATATTCGGTTTTCCTCGGTTGTTGTTGTGGCGGGGGAGTTAGAGAATTATAGTGAACAATTCATGTTTCTGTGAATTTGATCTTCTGCCAAGCTGAACTCTTAGAAGCGTTCAGTATGATTAGTCAATTGACTGTGCTTCTCTTCCGTTTGCGGTTGACCGGAAAGCTATCACTGAGCAGAAATGGATTTGCATGGTCGCCTATTCTCTGAGTAGTCTTCCCTCCATTTCTTTCTATGTGAACTGTTGTAATTGAATACCCTTAGATCCATTTTGCGAGTCTTGATATGTTGGCGGTGCCTCTTAAGTATTCTTCTTCGAGAAGCCGAAATGTAGCTGGATGCTCGTGTTATTGGTAAGACAAATTTCAGGAATGTTGATCGGAGCTGGAATGTGTTCAACCACCTTCTATTGGCATTCTGAATCTGTAGTTAGTATTTGTCGAGCTGGTGCATTCAATTGAACATAAGTGGTCTGAACTAAATGTTGCAATGAGGTGGGTCTCATAGATTTACAGCTTTTGATATTGTTCCTATGCACTCGATTTCTTACTTACATATTCACTTATTTTCATTAGATAACAGACGTTGGACTAATTTCTTGAAATCGTTGTTCATTTCAGCATGGTAATACTCATTTTGTATGGTGATGGTTGCTTTTTCAGTCAGTATCAACTTTGAGAAGTGAAGAGTATAGGCGATTGTTCCGTCTTCCTGCCGATGAAGTAAGTCACTTCAATATTTTTATCCTTTTGCTTTCCTGATGTCTTCAGTGTTTTTGGTGTTACTCATTGAACGTCAAATACTGCAATAACGTTTTATATGAATGTTAAGTGTCTCTTATTAGCTTCTTCAAATCGGTAGTCTTTTTGTTGGCTTTGGTTAGAATAGCAATTGCCTTTTTTTGTTAATGCGTGAGCTTCAGCTAATGATAAGGAAAGAAAATAATTTTGAAAGGGAAGTATGCAGTTTGTGAGAAATCACCATGGAGGTCGTTTCATGATGAGTTTCATGTGTGAATATCCTTCTTAGTTCTTAGTTTGATTTTCTATGTGAAATCATGTAAAATATATTTCGACTTAACATTGACGATCATGGTTCTAAAAGCCACACCTAAATGCTAGACAATGCCAAACGTCTTGCCTGGGATTCCATTGCGAGTTAGGTATTGACAATGCAATGATGAATCAAGACGACACCTAAGTGTTGACTACGTGTAATTAGGTGGAGATATGTAGTCAATATAAAAGTGAAAAATTAACATCGTCTACAAACTCAATCTTCTCTTAAGCTTTTCCAGAGCAGAAAAACTTTTTGTGAGCTATTGACATATGATTCTATAAACTTGTGAGCTATTTTTCTTGTTGTAAATGTTAAATAAGTTATTAATCATTTGAACTGGAGTGAGAAAGCGTTGTAAACTGCTATTTCATTCATCATGTGGTACAAATAGCTATTTTTGTTACCAACACCTAGGCACGCTTAGGCTACACCTAAGGCGCTAGACAAGGCCCCTAAGCCAACCTTACACCTAGTGCCTTCTAGAACCTTGTCGAGGATGCTTGCCAATGCCTAACTCTTGTTGCCTTTCTTGTTCTTTTTCCTTTTCCCCCCTTCTTTTATTTGTTGTGAGCTTGGATTCGGCATAAGAATCCTTCAGTTACGAATTTTGAGAAGAATTACAAAACGTGGAAAAGTGAAGATAGGAAAGTAAGATTGTCAGGCCAAGACCAGCTGCAAATCTTCTGGATATTTTCCAGTGATATCAAAGAGAAATCTGCTATCCTGTTTGCTAATATGTTCAGTGGAACCAATTTATTATTTGCACACTACTTGTTGGTTGTCACGGATCTCATTGTAACTTTACCTAACTATTTTGTTTCTTCGTTTGATGAGTTAACATATTTTTTTTTAATATTTCCATTGGCACATACTACTCCAACAATAAATAAGTTTTCATGCCGACAACTCAAATGCTACGTTTTGTGAAAGGTTCAAGTGGGTTCCTCATCTTGTTTCTTTTTTGACATCCCCTTCACAGGTCCTTTTACAAGATTTCAACTGTGCGTACCAGGAAAATATTCTTCTTCAGGTAGTGATCTTTCCGTAAAAACATGAAACTGCAGTCTTTCCTTTGTTCTCCACCTCTTGTTTTCTGTGTGGTATCAACCAATATATGTATCACCATTATGTTTTTGTACAATGCCTTTTAAGTTGTCTGAGCATTGATTATGTATTTACAAATTCATAATTAGTAGATTTTACCCATATTCTGCAGGGGCATATGTACGTCTTTGTTCAGTTGATTCATGTATTTTGTATAAACAGTAGACTTCACTGATGTGCTGCAGGGGCATATGTACATCTTCGTTCATTATATTTGCTTTTACTCGAACATATTTGGGTTTGAGACAAAGGTATGTGGAGTTCATTGATTGTTTTTATGCTTTGAGTGTGCGATGCATGTAGTTGGAACTCATAACTATTGTGGATTGCTACAGAAAGTAATCCCATTTCAGGAAATTACAAGTGTAAAGAGAGCAAAGACAGCGGGGATCTTTCCTACTGCAATAGAAGTTATAGCTGGCTCGAAAAAGGTATTGCCAGATCTGATATGAAAACTTTCTGTACATTAAATTGGAGTATCTTTGAAATATTACAGTGCAAAACATCGCTGTGGTCGTAAATCATTGATCAGTTTCAAATCATGTTACCGTTTGGCAGTACTTCTTCGCATCATTCTTGTCACGTGATGAAGCTTTCAAGATCATCAATGATGGATGGTTTCAGAATGGCAACGACTGCAAGGCAGTTGGAGAACAACAGGTTTTATAATCCTTGAGATCAGCTATCATATGTAATATAACCAATGAACTGATAAATCATTGAGTTCAATACCATTTAACTGTATCCAAGTGACAAGAATCGAAAAGTTGATAGAAAATTATCACAAAGAATTAGCTATTCCTAAGTAGTTTATAGGGACTCGGAAGGATTTTGGGACCTGCGCTCTTCATTTTGTGATATTTTTTTGTTTACTTTTGATATTTGTTCACCTTAAGAACGGGTACACATGAACAGATGCGTCTTACTAGTGTTGTATCAAATATTGGATAAGCAGTGGTTACAATTGGATACATCTTGTGCCATTCCAGTTGATGAATCCTTCTCGTTTATAGCTTCTTGTGTATTGACATTTTGCGTTGCGATTATGTCAGGACTCAGCTTCTGAATGCAATAGCCAACAGTCAAAAATAGAATGCAATAGCCTAGACAATGGCACTGGTAAATTAGAAAGCGCGAGCAGCTTCAAAAATGGAAATGAGCTGGTATTGGATGACAGGTACTCTGATCGAGGATGTGGTTTTATTATTTGTCTATATTTTTACATCTCGCGAGTTTCGACGGTTAACTTCCTGCTAGAAAATCAGGCGACAGGATGACACTTGCCCCAGCGGTTCTGGTCCTACATCTTGCAATGAAGATGACACCGTCCCAGTAACTACACAGTTGGAAGACAATGGGAGCCAGGATCATGTGGACCAGGATGCTAGAGAAGTAGAGAAAGCTGACTCAACATCTTCAGATGCACATTGCATGTGGAATGAAGAAAACTGTGATGCACCTGACAGTAAGTCAACTCTTTACCTATATACCCAAGTTTCCTTCTTTTTGCATGCATATTGCATCACTGCTGTCATTATAACATACTAGCTTATGCGGATCATTCTTCACTTATAGGATGATAATATTGATGATCATGCCTAAAGCTTGATTTTATTATTTGACCTGCAGTTACATTTGATTAAGACCTGGATCTGAGCAGAACATTAGGGATTTTTATTTATTTATAAAAGAACGCTAGGGATCTAGAAAGGTTATTGAAGGTAAAATTGAGAAGGATTAGAACATAATTTGGGTGTAATTAGAAAGAATAAAGAGGGATTGGGACAATTGATTAATGTAATTCTCTGTTTTGTCCTTAATAAGGGGTATTTATACTCCACAACCCAACAATAATGATAATAATGTTAATAATAAGTGTAATTCTTAACATAAGATAACTACTAATTAATAACAACAATTATATTAATAGTAATAAGCACCTATTTGATTAAGCTTTTCAATTGAAGAGTTAGTGGGATTGCAAAGATTCTTATCTTGTGTTGAAGATTGCAAAGAAGTTTACTTTCCAAATCATAAGTAGCATTTGTATTTGAGGATGTTGATCGACAGACTTAACTGATTTTTATGCAGTATCAACATTATATACGAAGGTTGCTGAAACAAAGTTTCCGGTACTGTACTAGTGTCACAGTTCTGTGGTTTTATACAAGCGATTTTGAAATTTCATCCCTAAGTTTCTTATAAGCATATAGTTACTTTTTGCCTTTTCCTGCCATGATTTGCAGATAAAGGTTGAAGAATTCTTCAATTTGTTCTTCTCCGATGATTCCGTTAGTTTCACTGAGTCTTTCCACGAGAGATGTGGGGACAAAGGTTTTTGTTTTGAATTCCAGGAGCAAATCCGTTCTCAAGTTTCTGATTATTCATTTGAATCTTTTGAATAGTATTGATTAAGTCTGGGTTTCTTGCATTGCAGAGTTGAAGTGTTCTTCATGGAAAGTGGATGATAACTTTGGACATGTTCGTGATGTTTCATTTCAACATCCGATAAAGATCTATTTTGGTACTTATGTTTTTTTTTTAATCTTCATTGATAAATTTTCTGCATCTTGTATTTGCTCTTAAAATTTTGTGGTAGTTCATTCTGTACTGCTATTGAGTTCTTTCTTTTATCTAAGGTGCAAGATTTGGGAGCTGTCAGGAGGTTCAGAAATTTCGAGTATTCAGAAATGGGTTAGTATATCTCATTTCATATTGTTGCACTTATTGGAACATATTCAATTTCTTCTGGGTCAAATGTTTAGATGTTGCAGTTTTGGTCTAAAACATGGGCTATGTTAGTTTGAAGTCCATGTGACTGGCCAAGTGTGTGTACTGTGTACATATGCAAATATGTCTTGCTTTTTTTTTTTTTTTTTTGTTGAGAATCCACCCTAAATTCTAATCAAACTGAGAATTCAGAACTGGTTCTTGTGGACTTTCTTTTTCTATAAGAGGTTCTGGTGTTACTTAAGTAGCCAACAAGTTACCAGGGGATAGTTACATGTAACCCCAGAAAATATCTGTGATGGTACTTTTTGTTGCCAAAACTTGGTTCCCCCTATGTAATGGAATACCTCAAGATTCAGCCAAGATTTTCATTAAATATGACTGTTCCATCACATTTGCTTTAATCAATTCGAACTATGCAATTTTTGCTTGAAAATGGAACTATGCAGCACATAGGGTAGACCTGTCATCAATTTGACGCCCTAAAAGTTATGGCAGTCCACGAGTTACTGTTTTCCGCATAGCTGTATTTTCTACAAGTTAAGCATCTCTAAGGTTCTGTTAATTGTAAAAAATTCAAACAGTCTTAACTTCTGCTATAGTTTTATTGCTGCAACAGTCAGTGTGGGTACGTATGTCATTTTCTCTCCTGCTTTTGTTTTTTGAAGTGTACCATGTAACTTATATGTTCGGTGTTCTTTTTTTTGCATGACATGTGCGCACCACCTGCCACTACTAGACATTTGACTGTTCAGACGTCTCAAGAAGTCAATGACGTGCCATATGGGGATTATTTTCGTGTTGAGGTATAACAAATAATGAGTTTTAATTATTCAATATCCACTAGAAGTGTGATGACTTCAATCATATTTTTCTTGACTTGTTTACACATACCCCTAGCTAGGTTATGTTTAGTGGTTGAAGTGTGACTGATGACTTTGATTTATGCAGCTGTCTTTTAACTCCGATACTTAATTTCCATGGTTACTTATTTGTTAAATTTCCATGTGTTTTGCTCTTGTTTTTCTTAATCGATTAGGGACTGTGGGATGTTGTTAAAGACGGACAAGGATCAAATGAGGGATGCATTTTGCAAGTGTATGTGGGTGTTGCATTCAGCAAGAAGACTGTTTTTAAAGGTTTACGTTTTTCTCTATTTGATTCCTTAATATACCTGTTTAGTCCCTCTTTCAACAATGAAATATCCAACTGTCACTATATCCATATTTCAAGAGAATCCACACTTGCCCTAGTATCTTCAGTCTGTGGTTACTGTGGCCAGTCTAGTGACTTTACAATACCGCAGGTAAAATAGTGCAGTCCACCTTGGAAGAATGTCGAGAAGCTTATGGAATATGGATAACCATGGTAAATTTCGTAGTCTTCCTCTAATCTAGTGCCTTTTATCTAAGGATTCTAATGGTTTGATATCCTCACAGTCGCACGAATATTTGAAGAAGAAGAGACTTGAGAAGCCAGAAGGTATGCCTCTATTATGTTGGGCTGAAATTAATCAACTGTGTTGATCAATACCCTAACTTTCTTTCAAACAGAGGAAATTCGTCGTGCTGCTAGCTCATCTGTAAATCCCGAGGAGCATTCTGAAATACTATTGAATCCCACCGGTGCTTCAGAAAGTTCACCATCTTTAAGCGATCACCATATTACCCCACAGATAGCCGATTCATCAAATGCCAACGGACGTGTTGACATTCTAGTTCAGCACAATTTAATGAGTGGCCCATCAATCACATCTTTTGTGAGAGGATATGCAGCACGACTGTCTTCATTTTTCAAGAGTCAAAGCCAAGTTTCCATGATCTTGATTGTCGCATTTGTAGTGATTTTTCTCATGCAGGTATGCTAGTCCTGGTTTCTCTTCTTGTGCTATTTGTCTTAGTAGGTTTCCAATCATTGAGATGTTTATCAGGCCATTTTTGGTTTTCAACTTCAGGTTAGCATAGTGGTGTTGTTAAACAGGCCACAGCAAGCAATTGTGGCTTCTCCAGGGGAACACCGCTTCGTTGGCAGTTTCTCTGGGGAGTTGGGCCACGAAAGATCATCTGAAACATTAGGCTGGCTGGAGCGACGGATGCACCACCTTAAGGACGAGATGCTAATGGTAGAGGCTCGAATGGAGAGGTTGAGGCAGGAGTACTCGTGGTTGAGGCAACAGATTGAGGAATATGATGCAGTTCCAAAGCGTAAATAGCAAGCACGCATCCTAACCGTAAGAACTACAAATGACTTCCTCTCATGTAATTCCATCTCCATTTGTAACTGATTGATGATACGAGACCGTCTCTTCTAACCTCAGAGCCGTTATAGAGCCTTGCCAAATCGACACTGTCACTACCACAGCTCGTGTGTCCAGAAATATGGGTTTAAAGACATTTGCATTTCCGTGAGTGTTTGCTCTATCTAGAACCATTTTGGCCTCTTTCAGAAAAATGAAACAAATACATCAATAACAAACAACGGTAACAAACAAGAACGCCTAAATTACAAGTTTGGTCACTCAAATAATGTAAATTTTTTTATGTTTGGCACCTGAATTACTTTTCTTTCTCATTCGCCAGTAGGCAGTAGTTGTATGAATCTTTTCACATTTGATCATCAGTCGTCTGTCTTCGTTAACTCCATCAAATTTTGATGACGTGGTAAACAGAACTGTTGATTAGGCTGTTAACCTAATGACTTGTCAATTTTAAAAATTAAAATTAAAATATTAAATTACACCTCATCTCTTCTTAGGCACCGACCTTGCGTCTACCGTGGGCTAGTTGAGCGCATTGTCCGCTCACTAGACCGACGAATCCTTCTATAGTGGCAGCGCCGACTTCGTCGACATTGGGAGCTCAAGCTACTTTGATTGAAATTGTATCCCTAGGAAAGAAATTGATTTGATGCTCTATCCCTCGGATTAGAGGTAGGCTTTGGAGCTTCCTCGAGAAGGACATCATCAAATTCTTCTAACACCACTTGTGGCCTAGGTGGGATGTCTTGAATCAACTCTTGATTGAGTAGCACGCCCTTGTAGATGATGATGATCAAAAGTTCATGATTGTTAATAGCTTGCTTCACATATCCACTGCGTGCCATCATCAATACCTTGGATTCCATTCATCGAAAAAAAATACCTTGGATTCCACGGAACTAGATCCTTGTCTATCACTTTTGTTTGTAATTATAAATTCCTACTCCTCCTTCTCCTATTTCATTGCATTTGGAGTTGATCCTCATAGACTACCTTGGGAGATAGGGGGGTTTAACACGAACTTCTGACGTCCATGCAACAATTTATATTTGTTGGTGACTCCGTCATGATGTGCACTTCGATCAAGCAAGTCCAAACTTGGAGACCCAATTTGGCAACCTTGCGAATATCCTCACCGAGAGACCCCAAGGAGCTCTAGCTTCACAAAACGTTGCTAACCCAAAGATCCAAGAGCGGGGGTGCATGCTATTACACTGTGAAGCGAGAAGGTAACTCAAGATGCTGCGACAAAGGAAAGAATTGAAGAAGATGAAGCCCCTCCAAAGGTTGATGAAAAAGTTCTTTTGGAAAGAAAGGATGAAAATGCCTCAAAAGGAACAGGATCCAGGTAGATTTACTATCCTATGCATTGAAACATATCATATAGAGAAATTCTTCGCGAATTTAGGAGCTAGCATCAATTTCATGCCATACAAGCTTTACAAGAAGTTAGACCTAGGTGAGCTGAAATCCACTAGGTTGAGTGTATACATTGGATGAACGATCTGTTGAATCCTAGAGGCATAGTGGAGGATGTCCTAGTTCGAGTGGGCCAGTTTTATTATACGACGAATTTTGTTATCCTAAAAAATTTTTGAGGATACCAACATGCCCCTCATACTAGGACGACCTTTCCTATCCACCACCAAGGCATTAATTGATGTGAATGAGGAAACATTAATTTTGAGGGATGGTGAGGAGAGTATCACCTTTATGATTGATTCAAATGATGCTCTTGAAAATGTGGATGTAATAGAATCGAATGGTGTTATTGTTAGTGGAGATAAGCCTTCCACGGAAAACCCCACTTGTGCTCCTCGTGTTCGTGGTGATGTGAATCTGGAATTGAAGGCGGATGCAAAACCATAAGCTAAAAAGGAGTGGCGCCAAAAGATGAATCTCTTTCAAAAATGGTGATTCTAGGATTGTTCGTGTTTTTATCATGTTTCAGACCCTGACTTGTGACAGTTGATGTGTTTGTACCATCCTTAGAGCTATTTTACATGAGGTTTGTTCGTGGTTTCTTCATGTTTCAGACCTTAGTAGGTAATTTTGGCACCGGGATTGAAAGTAAGACAAAAGAGGGCGAAAATGGAGCAAAATGGACGAAAGTGCGAGGATCACGGTTTTGGTGCTATCATCAGGGGCAGTATACCGGGAACTGGACAAGCAAACTGTGAACTCTGCACACTTCGAAGAGGATTCGGGTGGGTAGAGGGCATTGCTGAACCGTGAATTCAACAAGCAAACCGTGGAGTTCGTAGTGAAACGACGTGTTTTGTGTCGATACCATGATTTCACTGTCAACTTCACGGGCGTGATATTAGACCGTGATATGTGCACTTGGGAACTACATAAAGAAGAGTGAGCTGAAAAGGGAGAGTTCTAGAGAGATAGTGAAGGGTTCTTCTTCAGTTCTTCAAGCATACAAAGAGAAAGCTCCGAGCAAGGAAGGACAGGAGGAGAAATTGATTTACCCAAGGCAATTGGTGGGAAATTTATGCTCCAATGATCAAATCAAGCATCTAGGAAGAGGGAGAATCACTTTGCTATGGGGTTTTCCTCTATCTTATTTGCTATCTCTTCTAGCTATGGGGTATTTCTCTTTCTCACTTGGATGATAGGAACCCTAGTTTGATGTATCGTAGATTGTGAAATTGTGAACTCTATTATGAATTGGTATTATGATTTATATACGTGATTGAGCTATTTTCATGAAATTTGGTGTTCTTGATCAAATCTTCCAATTTTGGGGAAAATTGACCTAGGAGGGTGAAGATCCCCTTAGGCAATTCTGGTCAATCCTCAATTACCGTAAAGTGCAATGACTTAGAATGATTGGTTAGTTTGTGTTGTTCCGAGTTTAACTCGAGGGAGTAGAATCGATAGTCTTGATTGTCTTTTGAAGGTATGAGGCATGTCCCTCCGATTAGATCGATTGAGTGGGCTAGGATGCACTCGAATAGAGGGTCCTAGCTACTTTAGGGCTCCTACTGGTATATGAACACTTACCTATCACATTAGAGTGTCACGAGTTCATCTCAACATGAACTGGGGGAATATCGTTTGAGTGATCCTTTATCATTTGAATTCATCAAAGTTTGCTTGCTAGTTTAGTTTCCTTACTTTTAACCACAATTCGATCACTAGATAACGTGTAGACGACTTAAATAAGGATAGATAGTCCGCTCGGGTTGATGTTGAAATACTTATCCTATCCTACATCTGACTATAGGTTTTACTTGGCTTATAGTTGGGATATTGTTGTAGCGGTTGTGAGTCAAGCTTTGTACCGCGACATCGACGCCAAAAACTTGGCTCGCTCTTACTACAACTTCCCAATCGAAGGCCAAGTATAACCAACGACAGAGTGTAGCATACGGTAAGCAAGTAATTAAATTTTCAAACCACGGGTCTCTAGATGAATCTTACTTCGGCTTAATTTTCATTATCTAGCCAACCAAGAATAGTCATTGAGAGGAAACATACTAAACTAACCTAACCACTACCATAGCTAATTACAACTTGGGAGCTCTCATAGGCTTGAATCCCCCTACTTCCATCATTTGGATCGATGTTGTGTACCATCTTAGATCAATTGACTTGCTCTTTCTACCGCGTGGAATGCTAGACTACATTGGACACCTTATTCGAGTGAATACAACCATGCGCTACCCGGAGAGGCTTACCAAAGAACTGGCAAAGGCAATTGGTGTGCTAACCGTTACCAGGTTATACACTCACGATATGAAGGGGTAAAACATGTATAAATACACCCGAATCAAAAAGTGAGTGCATCAAAGACAAAACCACACCTATATTTATAGTGTATGTTTGAAATTACACAATAAACTCAAGCATAATGGTTGACCCATGTGACATTTGCAGCAATGCTTGTGACCTTGTGTGTAGAGTAACTATTGTGATCTAGTGCATTGTGTTCATATTATGGGTATTGAAACAAGAAATCCATTATCCTCGAGTACTCATCGAATGCAAGTGCACACCTGGCAGCATCCTATGCTCATGACATGCATAGATGATTTGATGGCTGGCCCATGTCTGATTAATTTATGAATTGAATGCTATATGTGTTGGGTTTGTGTTTAATATAATGTTTGAGATATTTTTCATGATTATTGAGTGTTGTTATTCATATCTCAAAGTTAGGACAAATTGGCCTAGGGGGAGGAAATCCCCCTTTGGGCCTTAAGAAGCTAGATTTCTTGACTAATTGGGTAACCCCGTCTAGTGAAATTAAGGGAAAGCCTCAAACATCATATTAGTTCCATGAATCTCTCGTGATTGGTTACTTTTTTGTCGTTCCGGATTAGCTTCCGAGCGAGTGGATCCTTAGTCAATTAGGAGCTAGTTTCCTAGCTTATTGTGACATTCCTTGATTGGTCATCTAAGAGAGTGGGGTTTCTTTACTAATTTCGTCCTCCTCAATGTTTATGGACACGCCTTTCCAAATTATCTTTCCATTCGGCTAACCTTGATACGATACTAGGGAGCAATACCCAAGTGAAGCTTTCTCACATCTTCATCATAATTTACTTTCTTTGCTTGCTTTCAACAGTAGTTCTTTAGCTTTAACTCCAAACTGTTTGCTAGACAACAATTTAAACAATTGAAGTAGGAGTACATGGACCGCCTCGGGTTAACATTTAAAACACTTGCCCTATACTACACCCTACTAGAGTTTGCACTTGGGCTTTAGTCGGGAATTAATTCTGTAATTAGGAATGATTCAAGTTTTTGGCACCGTTGTCGAAAAGGTTTACGATCCATTATTCAGAAAAATTCGTTTAGTGTTAATCTAGATTTTCAAATTTTGTATTGTTGAGTGTGAATCTTGCTTGTCTTGACTTGAGTTGTGTTTAGTGAAGTATGTGGGAAAGCTCAACAATGGTTAAACAACAGGCCACCCCTTTCGATAACTTCGTGGGATGATT